GACAAGAAAATTCATCCCCGTTGCTTTAGGAAAAGAGACTTAGTGCTAAAAAGAATCCTTCCAAATCAACATGATAATCGAGAAAAATGGACACCAAATTGAGAAGGCCCATATGTGGTGAAAAAGGTCTTTTCTGGTGGGGCATTGATTTTGACAGAAATGGATGGATGTGATTTACTTACCCCAATAAATTCAGATGTTGTGAAAAAATATTTTACTTAAAAAAAAAAAAAATGATGACTTATCTAAGCTGAAAACATGAAAAGACGGCTTGGATGTGAAGCAGAAGCATCATCAGAAGAAAATCCCACAATGCAGTGGCAAGTGTAGTTTGACAAACTCTGAAGAATCAAGAAAGTCATTTGATTTACTTTTAGAGAAAGAATCTGGGAATATTTTGTTCATGATTATCTTATAATCATTATTTGGACACCTTTGTTTCAACTCAAACACTTTGCCATGCACTTGTTGTCAGCCTAATAAAATACACATATCCTTTCCTTTATCCTTATTTGATATTTTTGTTCATCATACAAGTGAATAAAAGAAATGTGTGATTGTATTTTATTTATCTTGAACTTAAAATGATGAAAAAAAAAAATAAACATGAAAGATCTCAACCTTACTTTTAAAGTTAACAAAGGCAAATGAAAAAGGATGAGAAAAGCATGACAAGACATTGATATTGCAAACTTTTGAAGAAGAAAAATATTGTGGTCAGATGTTAGGAACAGATTGGTCATATAAATTCTGATAAAAGAAGCCAAAAACGAGAGATTTCGAGAACTTTTTTACTACAATAATTTTGATTGCATTACATGCATTGCATTTAGAGCACTCAATACATGCATTCATGAGAAGTTGTAACAAAGATAAAAATTTTCCATTTGTTAATGAAAAACAAGATTTTGGTAAAGACAATGATCAAACAAAAGAATTCAAAAGAGAGAAATTTACTTGTTCAGAGATGAAAACTCAAATTTGAAAACAGATGAAAATTTTAAAGTTCTTGAGCATCTATTGAAAGGAGTTTTTTTAAAAGATTTTTAAAGTTGTTGAGCCTCTACTGAGAGGAGTTTTTCCAAGATGAAATTTTTAAAGTTTTTGAGCCTCTACTGAGAGAAGCTTTTTCAAGAGATTTTTAAAGTTGTTGAACCTCTGCTGAGGGGAGCTTTTTCAAGATGGAATTTTTAAAGTTGTTAGCCTCTGTTGAGAGGAGTCTTTTAAACTTTCAAAAATATCAATTAAGCCTCTGTTGAGATGAGCTTTTTCAAGAGAATTTTAAAGTTGTTGAGCCTCTACTGAGATGAGCTTTTCCAAGATAAAAATTTTAAAGTTGTTAAACCTCTGCTGAGAGGAGCTTTTCTAGATGAGATTTTTAAAGTTGTTGAGCTTCTGCTAAGAGGAGCTTTTTCAAGAGATTTTTAAAGTTGTTGAGCCTCTGCTGAGAAGAGCTTTTCCAAGATAAGAATTCTAAAGTTGTTGAGCCTCTGCTGAGAAGAGCTTTTCCAAGATAAGAATTCTAAAGTTGTTGAGCCTCTGCTGAGAAGAGTTTTTCCAAGAAGAGAATTTTAAAGTTGTTAAGCCTCTACTGAGATGAGCCATTTTCATGATATGAGATTTAAAAGTTGTTGAGCCTCTGCTGAGAAGAGCTTTTTCAAAAAAAATAAAAAAAATAAAAAAATAAAGTTGTTGAGTCTATGCTAAGAGGAGTCTTTTAAACTTTCAAAAATATCAATTGAACCTCTGTTGAGAGAAGCCATTTTTTTTGTCGAACAAAAAAAATTTTTTTTTTTCGAACAAAAAAAATTTTTTTTTTCTTTTCTCAATGTTTTATCTTTCCAAACAAAATGGTTGTTTGTTTGTCTGTGCCTTATTCCTGATTCACAGAAATAGGCAAAGAGGGGCAATTGTAAACACCATTTATTATTTTTTTTTCTTTTTCCCATTTTTTGCATTTGTCTTCTTCTCTTTTCTTTTTCTTTCTTTCCTTCTTCTTTTTCCTTTCTTCTTCATCCTTATCCGGTTGAGATCTAGTGCATTAAATGCACAATCTCTAAAGTCTAAAATTACCGTCGTTAGCTGCCAGCGGTCGACCGACAAGCCGCTAATCACGAACGGCAGACGTGATTTCTCAGTTGAAAAAATAAGATTCGAATCCCAGAAGATCTGGGATTTGAATCTCAAAAAGCTCTATAAATAGAGCTTATTATTTGCAAACTGAAAAGAGAGGCAAAACCAAAGCAAAAAACAATAAAAAAAAAATTCTGTCGAAAAAAAAAAATTCTGCAGAAACATAAAAAAAAGCAAAAACAATCCCCTAGAACGAGGAACCCAGACCAACGGCGACGGTATGACGGCAACGACGGCGACCGGTGACCTATTTTTTTTTTCCTGAAAAAAAAAGAAGTTTTTTTTTGGAAAGAAAAGAAAAAATGATCGAAAAAAAATTCTTGGTTTTATATAAGCTGCCAAAACCCAAAACGACGTCGTTTTAACCTTTAAGGATCCGCGCGTCAACCCGTGATCCGACCCGTGACCTGCTTCCTTCATCAGCCTCTGATCGGTCTGACTAGACTGAAATCGAGTTGCCTAAACTGAATCGAACCGGTGCTGAACCGTTGAACCGCCCAGACCGAGTCGAACCGTCGAACCGAATTGCACGTTGATCAAACCTTTGACCGATCCAGTTTAGGTAAAAAAAAATTTTTTTTGAATTTTTCTTATTTTTTATATATTATTTTATTAATATTTATACATATTAAAATATTTATATTTGTTAGATTAAATGATGAAATTGTAGTTAAATTTTTTTTATATAATTATGTTAATTTTTAAAATAAACTTTAAAAACAATAATATAAAAATAAATTTAATAATAATACTAAAATAATAAAAAATGTAGGAAAAGAATATTTTTATCCGACGATGAGATTCAAAGGTATTTCGAGTAGTGATGCCTACGAAATCTCTAGGTGAGAAGATTTTTTTTAAATACTACCAGTATATTGGAGTATTTATAAAAAATTTTCAATACAGTAAAGATTTTTTTTTTTAGTAATAAATAAAAATTGATTAATAAATTAAAAATATAAGTAATAAAAATAGGAAGAAAAGAAATTTAATCCAATGATGGGATTCTAAAAGTATTTCGAGTAGAGATGCTTTAAGAAATCTCTAGGTGAGAAGATTTTTTGTAAAATATTACCAACGTATTGGAATATTTATAGAAAATCTTCAATATAATTAAATTCCTTTTTCTTCAAAATTTCAATTAAAATTAAAAAATTAATAAAACAATTAATAAAATTTTTGAAAAAGAATAAAATGTGTGCATCAAAATGTTATTATTTGCATTACATATATGACATAATTTTTTTACGAAAAGTAAATTTGGACCTCCAAAGATGAGATTCTAAAAGTATTCCGAGTATAGATATTTTAAGAAATCTCTAGGTGAGAAAGAATTCTTCTAATGTTACCAACGTACTGAAATATTTTAAGAATTATTTCAATAAAAAAGTTTTAATTTATTTTTCTCGAGAATAAATTTTTTTAATAAATGAAAAAAATCAAGGAGATTATTTTTCGAACACCAAAAATTGGACTATTTTTATCAAAATCAAAAGATAACACGTTGTTAATTGGTACCATTTTTAACAGGCGCTATGAGGGTGCTAATCCTTCCCCACACGTAACTGACTCATGAACCCAAACTGTTTCGTAGACCATAAAATTATCTTTTTAATAAATTTTAATTAATTTTAAAGTTTTTTTTAAAAGAATATGTTTTAGTATGTGACCAATCGCACTTAACCAAAAAATATTGGTGACGACTCCTTTAATTTTTTTATTTCGTTTTCAAATTATCGGACGGACACAAAACCGTTACGACATGTGTAACTCGTGAACTTTGGACACAATTATAAATATAAAAAAAAAAAAATTTTGTCCAAATATATAAATTTATTTTAGAGCAAGTCCTGCAATTTTTAATACAACTAATATTATGGGTACTAAAATAATTTAGAGGGATGAATTCTTTGCAATAAAATAAGCCATTAGGAATAGTTAAATGAAATTTTCTTGATTGAAGAAATGCAGGGTATACATGTGCTGTGAGGTGTTTGATTAGTGCTTTCAAAGCATTATTTTGAGAAAATGTCTCCTAACAACTCTGTTTATTAGTAATAAATGGTCCCCATTCGAAATTCAACAATCATTAAAAATGTTCCTTTAATTTAATTAATTTTGATAACGATGATTTTCATGAATATTATTTTCATCTTCTATAAAAGTGTTAATTAAATTAATGGCACTAATTACTTTTAAAGTATATTAAAATGTTTAATATTATATTTAAATTTTAAAATTTTAATGTTATATTTGAATTATAAATTTATTAATTAATTTTATTTTATTTTTAATATTTTAACTTTATATGATGTTATGTAGCTAACAAATCATCTTTCAAATATTATATTAAAAATTTTTAAAATTTATGTATTTTATTAAATATTTTAGTGTGATTCAAAATTAATCTTTTTTACTTTCTTTACTTCGTTCTCGGATTCATCAAATTCTTCAAACCCTTAATAGAAACCCACCTCTTTGCTCACACTTTGACCTCATTTACCTTGATCGTTGTTGAGATGGCCCGAATTTATGGCCATAAAGAAAATTTATGTAAAATAGTAAAAGTATTTAGAATGAAAACTGATACAAAAGAGAAAGAAAATTTCCAAATTGAATCCTGAAGTGGCTTGTGGTTATTATGAAAAACAGGCCCCTGTTTTCCTCATGATGAACTATTGTCTGAGACTAGAAAGTTCCCACCCCCCGCCCCCACCCCCCCCCCCCCCCAAACAAAAAAATAACAAAAAACAAAAAATCTGTAGGTTTTCCCATGTGCAATTTTCCCATGTCCAAAATGTGACATCTTTTTTTTATTTTTTTCTTTTTCTTTTCAACAGCTAAAAGGATTTTTGAACAGCAAAATGTGGCTCTCTTTGATCAAACGTTAAGATGAGAGAGTTAGTAGCTAGGACTTACATTTTAATCCTTTAACCCCTTTTAGCTCTTTTTTTCCTACTTTGAGACGTGACCCAGAAAGCCTTCCAAACTCTTTCAACCAAGGGAGTCTGCAATTTCTCCCACGTTTCACTCTCTCCTAGCTACTTTTCTTTTCTTCACTAAACTCTATCTATCCCCTCCATCCTTCCTTGCTTCTCCAATCTCTTCCTTGTATAACATGGCCAACACACTTAACAAAGCTCTCACTACCGTCTTCTTCTTCTCCTCCATAATTCTCAGCATCTTTGTTCAAACAAAGCAAGATAACCCATGTCCATATCCATGTTACCCTCCACCAACAGGCAGCGGCGGCGGCGGCACGGTCACTCAAACACCTCCGGCTAGTTATTCACCACCTTCACAAACAGGACTATACCCTCCACCAGGAACTTCCTACCCTACACCAACAGGGAACCTACCATATTACCCACCACCACCTTATGGTAATACTTTATACGGTCAGCCCCCTCCAGACCCTATCTTGCCTTATTTCCCATACTACTACAGGAAACCTCCATACAGAACAGATGATCAATCATCAGCAACAAGTAGTCCTGGAAAATCAGTGATCATGATTGCAACCACAAATCTTCTTGTATTTTTTTTTCTAGTTGTTTCTGTTTGTTTTTAAGCCATGTTAACTTCTATCATGTTTAGTGATAGGAATTAAAAATGAGTTTGTGAATGTGTTTTTTAGTGGTTGAAAAAAGGTGTAGGAATGGTGATGAAGTGAAAGACAAAGGAATCAAAGAGGCGGTGGTGGCCCAGGCACCTTACTCTTTTTGTTTGGTAATGAAGGAGATGAGGATGTTTATTTTTGTTTCCTCTTAATTTCCCTGTTTTGTCTTAGTTGTTCTGATTAGAACTTTGCGAACCCACTTGATTGCATCACCTATTTTGGATCAGTATGGGCAATTTGCAGAGTTCTATTATCGTTTTAGGACATCAGTTTTTGACAATTTGCAGAGTTCTATTATGGTTTTAGGACATCACTATGATGGTTTTTTCTTTGAAAGAGTAATGTCCTTTAACAGAAAATTTTTCCACTGCAAACATTGTTGCGTGCCGAACCAACCTTTGTATTTTAGACGTTTCAGAAAATATGACCTAACAGAGAAAAAACATATAAATATCTATGAATAAGACTGATGATTTGGTTTGATTAGGTTTAGGGTGGTTGATATTTGCTTGCCATTATTGCTCAACGGCTCTAAGTGATTAGGATTACAATAAAATTGCTGCAATATTACACGCTTTTTTTATCACTTGCTTTCAAGTAAATGATATCAGGATTAGAACAATTTCTATAACGTTTAATGAGATCAGGATCACAATAAAATTACCACCATTTTTAGTTGACCCAGCTAAATGTTACATTGCACGCTGCATAATTCAAGTTTTTTTGAGTAACGAAAACAAGTACAATGGAGGAAATATACTAATATCAACAACCTATGATTATTGGCTGTCATTTCTCTACTTCTGCATGAAATAGGAATTTCAATGTGACCGGACAATCGACATTCTGGTACGGTTTAATTCAATTTTGCATTGAAGGCAACACATGATTAGAATGGAGGGTACCTGTGTTGGCTGCCTAGGCCAAATGGGAAAGGATATTGGGTGAAGAAGGGAGACCGTGGCAGATCGTTTCAGGAAGCCACAACTGCCAAACGACCCATCCCAGAAGCATTGGCAATTGCAGCACTCTTGATATTCTTCCTCACCATCTTACTGCTATTTCTCTCGTCTCCCACTTTCGGCCTGCCACCAATCTTATGATCTTTTACAACCTTACCACCCGCTGATATTCGATGTTTTGACAAATTATTGCCTTCTTTCTCTCGCTCTTTCTTCGTAAGGACAACATATTGTGTCATAGATTCAGTTGGTCGAGCCAAAGACATGGTGCCAGCTTGAGATGACTCAACTGTAGGATAATTCAACTCATCTACAGATCCACTAGCAGAAAGGACCAGTTTATTTGCTTCCCTGGAGACTGATGGTGATCTTGGAGTTGCACCCATCCCCGTACTTGCTGACTTCTTTTGTACTTTAGCAGGTTTCATGGTAGATGATACAGCCTGATATAGAAATAGAAGAAAGCCAGTATTAAATCTATTGATAAATGGAACAAAAATATGAAATAAGGGACTCAGATTATCATAGGAGAATTAATCACAGGAAAAAAGTAGCAATATATACAGGTCCAACAATAAGTATACAAGTCCAACTTCCTATCAAAGGAGTCAAGGCCGATTATGCATCTTATATCATACATATATCATACATATATCATACACTGGAGTGACAGTCAATCTAAATTATCATTTTGAAAGGAAACTTTCATATATAAACTTAACCATATAGAATGCATTTCAGTGTTTCCAACGCTTAGATATTAAAATCATTTAACATATTATGCTCAAAATATTTATCACATTTTCCATCACACTCAGAGCAATCCAAATGTCTACTAGCATTCAGTAACAATACCTAGTTTCTGGTTACAAAACTTGGCAAGATCGAATAGATGCACCCTCGATCCTTGAGAGAGATTAAGAACAAGGATTAAGGTACTAGTGCTCATTCATCCTTGCGCTTCTCCATCATCAACCAAAGTGTATCTTTTTCCCTTCTCTGACTGTTAACTTTGGATAGTCAAATTCATTTTAGATTCTCGCATGCTATATAACAATGGTCTAAGAACAAGGAAGTTCACTAAAACCAACATTAGACATCCAGTAGAAACATGAAGAAAATGCTTTGGCTAACAAAATTCCAAAGATCCCAAAAATCTATGACAATTGTGCAAAGAACAAAATATAAATGCTCTATCTTTTAATAATATTGCTTCATATAAGTAAAATAGATTATTTAACACACAATGTCAAAAACATTAAGCATTTTAAGATAATTACATAGAAATGAAGAACAGTAACTAAAGCTATTAACCTAGAGCATGATTAAATATGAGCCAATATAAGCACCTCCAAGTTACACATGCACTCTTGAGTGCATACTTTTCTATGATGTAAAATAATCATATCTGAGGACATATGAGCTACATTATAAAATCAAGCAATAGTAGAGCTTTTAACGTACCTTGTTTCCAGTAGACCCTGGTTTTGCAACAACATGATAGAAAGAAGGCATCGGTTTTGCTTTGAAATTAAGGCTTTTCCGCAATTGCTTAATTTCAGCCTCTGTCTTTTCCTACAATAAATTTAGCAACTCATTAGTCCAGAAATGTCAGACTGGTCCTTCATTTCAAATACAAACAAGCAAGCACATAGAGAAAAACCAGTTCACTTTCATCTAAAATAGTAAATTCTGAATACAGTATGCTTCCCCTACCTGTGTTCTTGCTTGAATCTGATTCATCTCAGCCTCTTTGGCATGCATTTTCTCTTCCAATTTCATGTAGAACTGAAACCATCGTATCACAAAAAGAACAGAGGAAATTAAAGTGTATACCTTAAACTAAAGAATACGAAAATTTCGGAATGATAGCATGCTTTCTTGCCTCTTTTCTCCTTGCTGCTCGTACACCACTTTTGAAATCGAATGCTCCAGCACTTGAATTTACATCTGTCTTAGTTGAACTGACAGCCTGCTTAAGCCTATGTAAAACAAAAAATACTCTACATTAAGGTTTAAAGGTTAAAATTTCGATGACATAAAGCAATCCCCATGATGTTGCTACACACATGTTTGGTGTCAGGCGAGCAACAGGTTCATTCTTCTTGGATAAAGAAGGTTGAGCTTCAATTACTTTCTTTGTCATTGGTCCTTTTAAACTGTCACAAGAATGAAATAATTATTTGAAATGTCCCTACAAATGAAACATACATATTATTAAAATGCAAGAAATAATAGGTACCTTTTATTCTCAATGCTTAGTTTTGTACTGAATCTCTTAGAATCCTGGACAAAAAAGACCAAGGAAAGGAAATTCAAATAGCAGCATGAAGTCTTAATAAAAATGCTTGATAAAGAGTAAAAGCTAGGTAATACAGATGTTGCTTTTTTCAATATTTTTTTTCTTTTAAGCTTCAGGTCAAAGTCCAAATTTTCACCTCTTCCTTTGGAGATCTAAGCATTGAACGTTTAGTTGGAGTGGCCGTTTGTAATGGCAGTTTTTCTGCTTTTGTTCTCCTTGTAATCTCTTTTTCCCTTTTTACTTGAATCCTTGCAGCTACTTTTGATGGATCACAATAAATGTTTTTTTGGGAATGGTCAGGACTCACCAGAGACTTCAACCTTGGTTTCGTAGTTTTATTTTCAATAGCAGGATTCAACTAGAATTGAAAATTTAATAAGCCACAAGGAGGTAAACACAAGACAAAATTAAGTATATTTATCCACATAGAGAAAGAATGAGATAAAAGATACGCAGACATACATTAGAAAACAATGTGAAATCAAGTTTCTAGCTACTTCATGACTGCAGCTTTTCAGAATTTTGATTTTGGTACTTCCAACATAGTAATTTGTTTCAAACAATAAGAACTAATATAAATATAAACTCATACCTTTGGAGAATGATTTTGCCGAATTTCTAAATTAGTAGTACCAACTTCTCTAGTGATTTCATTGTTGGGGGATGGATCCCTGGACTTAAATGATTCATCAATATTAACTGCATCATCATCAAGGTTTTCTTCTACTTCCGTCTCTGGTTTATTATTGCTTATAAGAGGCTCATCACATCCAATTTCACTTTGATGAGTTTCCTCAGCTTTAACATCTCCAGGCACCAAAACATGAGTTTCATGGGCAGATAAAACACCAGGATATTCTCTTCCACATTCGGTCAATGCACCCTCACCATGATATTCTGAATCTTGAGGACTCTTGTCAAAGCAAGCACAAAGGCTATCTTCTTTTGCATGATCAAACTTGTTCCCTTCATTTTCATGATAAAATAGGCTCCCTTCATTTCCATAACAAATATCTTCCCCATAATCTACATCATCCAAGCTCTTCTCATCAAAATGATTGTAATGGCTACCTTTACATAGACTATTAGATTCATCTCCATAACCCTCGTTCTCTGCAGCATCATTCTCACCTGTTTGATTGTAAACCTCATTCTCCACAGCATCACTCTCACAGGTTTGATATTCTACTGCATTTTGGTCCTCAGATGAACCTTGAAGAAGAAGTGCCTTCTTCCTGAAGTGAGCTTCAAAATAAGCTTTCTTCTCAATAACTGAACCTGGTTTTGAGTATTTCTCAACCTCTTCAAGATATCTATTGTGCGAGAAAGAGGATCTCCTTTCCCAAGCTAGGGGTTCATTTTCAAATCTCCCAAATGATATAGAACCAGAATGCAAAGATTCTGCCTGCCCAGTTAAAAAAAAAGGTGGAGTTAAAAAAACTGAAATACGTGGACAAATGATCTGCTACTGTGCTACAGTATACAGAAATGTATTTTCTGAGCCAGTTCTGATTAGAAACTCATGGAAGAGGTTAGCAAGATCAAATTACATCAGCACTTGAGAATTGAGATACTGGAAGCCACTATAGTTAATGACAATCTTCTATAGACTTACAACGTTTTAGAAAAAATATAGTAGAACTTTCTAATGGAAAAAAACTAGTGCCATAGCCAATTCGAAAATTAAAAGGAATAGCTAACATATGTAACGCTACAATTTTATCTCTGGTGCTGTAGCCAAATTCAAATTTAAAAAGTACTAGCTAACATATAAAATACTACGATTTTATCTGCTAGTGTCAAAATCGAAACAGGTGATGAAAGGATCTGAATACATAGGAAGAGGTTCAGTAAATCTTTTGACCGTTTTCTTATATCATCAAATGTTGACATATCACGTAAGGAACAATGATCATGATCATCAAACTACAACAAATCAACCAATGGACAAACAGAAACTAAAACCTACATAACAAGTAAATAGATTTAAGAAGCTTAAACTCCAATCATCCCAAGGGAAAACAGATAAAGATTTCTTTTTGTTGAAAAAAAAACACAGAGATCATATCAAAAATTGAAACCAAACCATAGATAAGATGCAATTTCACTTTGCAAATCAAGTGAACCGATCATTATTTTCTTTTCTATTCTATATTGTACTTGTTTGCTCTGTTGTGGTTCAAAATTATGTGGAAAAAAATTCAAACAGTTAACCAAAAAAAGAAACGAAAAGAAAAGAAAAGAAGAGATTTACCTGAGAACTAATGCTGAAAGGCTCTTCAATCTGTCCCGCCATTCGCAACCAAAATCAAGGTAGAAACAGCAGTTACCTCAAGAATCGAGTTCAGCAGCCGACATCTCAACTTATCAAACGGATCAAATCAATTAAACTCAAAATAATAAACGAATCTGAACTAAACGTGCTTCGCGAGTAACTTACCCAAAAAACCATGAAACAAATACCAAAATCGAAGCTCAAAGGTTTTCTTTTTTTCTTCTTTTCTTCTTAGATCTTTCTCTTAAAAAAAATTGCTTTAGTGAGCTTGTTGTGTACAGCGTTAAGTGCAAAAAAGTATGTGAAGTTGTGAACGTAATGAGGAGCTTAAAAAGTTAGATCAATCAGCTCAGTCTTTATTTATTTTCATTTAAAAAGGAAAAAAAAAAAAAAAAACTTTATCTTGTGGGGTTGGTTGTGTTTTTTGTCTTGTTATCATCAGATCACCACATGTCAATCAGACGGCTCTGATTTCAGATCACAGGAAGAAGATTCTCAGAAGGCTCGTGGTCGGATTAAACACGACATTATTTAATATGGATTGAAGCGTAGAGAATGTCCCACGTGTCAGATTGTTATCATTAGGATCCGTTTGGCAACGTCCACGAAAATGAGAAAAGTTCAAAGTTGCAGTATTTGGAAACAAAAAGAATCCGTTTTGACGTTTTTCCAAACAGCGACTAAAGAAATATCAAAGTTGATTTATGTAATAAACCTGTTACGAGTGATCGAATTGGCATTGGTTTGCGCCTAAGGCTTCATTTGGAAGCTAGTGCGGATGCTCACATTAACTATATGTAAATCTTAGTTAACTATTAATTAAAAGAAATAGGAGTCTTTTGAATTTGATGTTGAAAGTGACATTACTAATTAATAGTGTTTGCAAGCTAATATTCATTATCTTTTCTTTTTAGGACCTATTTTTTTCTTTTGTAAATATTTTTTAATAATTTATTGAAATTTTAATTATGTTATATGTGAATGTTTGATTCAATAATTTATAATTAAAGTTTTTTATTAAATTAATTAATAATATTATTAAAATTTAAAATTATATTAAATAAAAAATTAAAAGATAATTTAGAATTTTAATAAAAAAAAGAGATGATTTAATTACTCATAAACTCTAGCTTTATTTTTATTTAATAAAATTCTACCAAATAAGAAGCATCTAGAGAATTATTATCCAAAAAATTCTATCATAAATGACTGCAATTTAATATAATTAAAACTATTTTTTAAATTAATACTATTATTAAAATTTATAATTATAATAAATAAGAATTAATTACAAATGATAATTTAGAAATTTAATCAAAAAATATTTTCATTTTTCCCAATTTAAAAAATTTCATATCTGTACAATTATATATATTATTAAATATTTACTTAACATTTTAAAAGCAGCACGTTGGGTCCTATTATTGTTTTTAGAATAAAAAGGAATGATCTTTCTTATCTAAACTAAGCACAAAATAAATAAAGGGGAAAAAAAAAGAAAAGAATTGAACACTTCATTAATTCAAGATTGGATAATTAACAAGAGCCAAATTATGTATGTGATGATATGGATATGGATTTCAAGGTGGGACCCCTAAACTTTTAAGCAAATAATGGATTGGTGGTCAAGGTTTTGTATTGGTGCTATGATTAGAACCGTTAGTCTTAGGAGGTGGGAAGGATCATCAAATTGATCATTTTTCTAAAGTGGCCCCAATTAGGCCCTAGAATGTGTGTGGGCAGTCCATGTCTTTGCATTCCCGACCCACTTTCGTTTTTATCTCTTCTGTTTTTAGTCTATTTTCAGTTCTAGCTGCATCTCCACCCTACACGTCACAGACCTGGGTCCCTATGATTATAGCCGGGTAGGTGAAGCGGGTCAACCTTTTTTATGCTTTTCTTTTAATATAAAACAAATGCACCATATGGTGACAGATCCACATGAAAAACGAAATCTAGGGCTGCATAGCTGGTTGTTCTATACCATTAATTTTTCTCATTTTGAAGAAATTAAGGAGTGTGGCATTGAAACACCGGCCAACATTAATATTGCATGCAATTTTGTTTAAAGAGTTTGAACATGGGGAAGCAGGCTAGGTGTTATAGATTTATAGAGGAATTACGAATTTCAATTATGCATTTAGAATTTGATTTAAAATATAAATGTTTAAATTATTTTAATTTATGAGATATTTTTTATGAAATAAAATTATAATTAATAAATTTAAATAAATAATAATTTAAAATTTTATCAAATTATAATATTTGACATCAAAAGAAACTCTTTAAATATTAATAATACCTCACCAAACATGAAGAATGTGTTGGAATAGAAAAGATGTCATAATTTTTTAAAAGATTTTATAAATCTCACATTAATTATGTGTAAAAATTTAATTTGAAATATAAATTTATATTATTTTTAATTTATGAAATATCTTTATAAGATAAAATCATAATCCATAATCAATCGTAAAGGATAATTTCTCATAAATAGACGTGAATCGTGACACTAGCCTTGAGCTAGGATAAACACTTGTTTATAACTCTGTGGTAGCATAATTCATGTGATTCCATCTGTTTTGGTCTTATCCTCTAGGGGGCATCTATAACTCAACACACGTGAGAAAGACAGAGATAAAGGGCATGTCAGAAACGTAGGTGTGTGTAATCATATTCGTAAATAATATTTTCTACCAGAAGTCCACAACTCTGGGCTTACAGTTTATTATTTTTTTTTTTACATATACCATATTTTTAATTAGACCTCTTTTTGGAAAAATTTTGCATTGGCCCTTTTTTCATTTTTTTTATTTTTTATTTATTACATGCATTTATGAAAGTTTTTAAAAGTTCTACTTGAAATTCTAAACAATAAAAAATAGTTTGAAATAAGATAAAATTATTTGATAAATTTTTTAATTCTAAAAATGACGTTTATAATATGACATATATTTTATTTTTTTAATTAAAAAAATAAAGGAAAAATTAAAAATGATTGTTGATGGTTTTTCGGTAACTTTTATTTATTTTTTTCTGTTATCCTTTATTTGCATCTGATTTTTTTTGTATTTATAGATTTTATCAAAAAGAGAGAGCGTGACAACATTCTAATGAACTCTTGGTAAGTTTTTTATATTTTGTGATTTTATGTTATGTTTGAATTTTTTTGCCAATTTTGCTTTCCATTTGATTTTTTCTTTTTTATTTATAAATTTTGATTTCATGTTGGTTATTATTTTTACAGATTTCAATGAGGTAATAAATTTGATTTTTTTACTATTTAATATGCCATCTTTAATGTTAAATTGCATGGAAAATAATTGTGCTTATTTTATTTACATTATTTGACTGTAGAAATAAATTCCAGTCGTAAAATATCATTTTGATATGTTTATTAGGGTTATACAAAGATTTCATTTACACTGTATTTCAATTTATTTAAAAATCTATCATTTGTAAAATGGAATCAATGACCTTTATTACTCATTTTCTTCCCCTACAATACATTTTTAATTCATGTTTCTATTATTTTCTCGTTTTGCTTTCTTCTAAAATTTGAGGTATACCCCATAAAAGAAAGTAATCCTGGACATATAAAGGGTATCTCTTCGCTGGTCGATGTTGAAGGGAACTGAAAGAAAAAAGCATGGAAGAGAAAAAGGAAAGGAAAATAAATTTTTTCTATGATTTTTGTATATTTGGAGTGTGAAATTGTTTTTGACTTAGTTGATTGATTTTAAAATTTTTAAGATGTTTATTTTTTTCCTTCCATTGCAAGTATTGTTAAAGGTACTACAACATCTCAGTTTAAGGTTAGTTCTACTTTACATTGTTTATTGATTTTTTGTCAATAGAATATATTAAGAAAAAAAGAGGGTTGGGCTACAAGCTGATGGAAGCATAGAGGTTAAGAGAGGTAGAATTGAAACAATAGATGAAGGGAAAATGGAGAAAGAGAAATGGAGAAAAAAAAAAAAGAAAGAAAAAGCAAGGGAGAGACATGATCCGGCGATTACGTCATATCTTTAATATGGATTTAAGACAATAGATGAAGGGAAAATGGAGAAAGAGAAATGGAGAAAAAAAAAAAAGAAAGAAAAAGCAAGGGAGAGACATGATCCGGCGATTACGTCATATCTTTAATATGGATTTAAGAGGTATATTTTGCTAATTTTTTTATTTTACTTTATTTATGGTGTAACTTTTTCTTTCGAATTTTATGTTAAATTATGATTAATCATCGATATTTTCATTTTTTTTTACTAACAAATTAATGATGGATCACAAATTATATAAAAACAATTCTATTTTGACATTCTGTTTATCTTTTCATATGTTCACTCATTCATTCTTTATTTCTAGCATGTTTTATTCGTATTTTCAAGTTCTAATAGTGATAGTAATTTTTGATTTTGTCGACATAACAATTTTATCTCAAAAAAATAAATGAATATGATGTATTGCATTTTTTTAGCTTTTGAAGCTTATTAAGATTATTAATAGAGACCATGGTCAGCCTTCACATCTTGACAAATTTTAGGTATATCAAAAAAATCTCTTTTTATGATATGATTTTATTATTTGTATTGAAACTAGAATTTGATATGTTTTAGTGTTTTTTTTTTTTTTGAAATGGTGATTAAAGGACAAATTATAGGTTAAAAAAACATATATTTTGGTGTGTTTTTCTTTGTTTGATTGAGGCATGACCTTTTTTTTTTTTGTGTAAATTCATGGGATGATAAGCTGCATTGGTAGTAAATTGTTTTGACAAAAACAAGAATTGGATATTTCTTGCTTTTTAGATGAACATTCAATTTGGTTTAAAATGAAAAGAAAATTATTGATTATATTTTTGTTTTTAAGGTGTGAACATGATAAAGTTTTTTAGTAAATCTGAAAGATAACATTAAAAGTTTATTCCATGGGTGAGCATCGATAATTGACAACAGTTTTAGTTAATAATTCACAATTGTATATTTATAGACTAAATAATTCTTCCATTTTTTAAGAATAATTATTCTTCAATTTTTTAAATTGTTGTGACAAATTTGAAAAAGGTGACGAGGAGACATTGTAAAGAATATAAGTTTTTCAAATACTTTTTTGGTATTCATCATATATAATTTACTTCTAATGTTTGCTTTGTTCTTTTATCATATTAACTGCAATATTAGTGTAAATATCCAATTTTGTCCGAGTTAATTTGAATTTATTTGATTTTTATACTTAATTTGCATGTTTTTATTTGAGTTAGTTTAAACATTAAATCGAATTAAATTTATTCGAACTTGTTTTGCATTA